TAGATTACACACCCCAGGGAAGAGAGTGACTTAACCACATTGTACAGCAGGTAAAGTGCTTTGGGGTCTGTGTTGTGTCATTAAGACCAATATGAGGAAGCAGCAAGACTTATCTTAATCTTGCTGATTGCCTCAATTAACACAGTCCCTATAGTGTCCTCCTTGATATCTAATCCCTGCAGTTTCTTGTTCTGTATTTTGCTCTGACAATGTTATCAGATCATTGCTAAGGGTTTAAAAGTACATATTAAGTGAGTGAGGATGTGGTAGTTATTTAGAGAAGCCACACGCTTAATTAGCATGGAAATCAAGCAATGAACTATTAAGACTTTCGTGTAAGGCAAGAAATGTACTAGATACTGAGCCTAAAAATAAAAATTAAAAAAAATACATAAAAGGAAGGAAAAAATGTACAGGAAAGAAGGGTAATTATAAGCAGAATTCAAAAGCTATGTCACTCACAACAACCTGTCTACTGCTGGCAAACACTTTCATCATTTGGAAATAACTCACACAGCAACATAAGCAAGCAGCAAAAAAAGGGGGGTTGTCCTCCCACATCTCACACATCCAAGATGTAGTGAAATTATCTCTTACACTCATGGGACTTTGCCTTATTCCTGGGGCAGCCTCTACTCCCAGAGCAGCCCTGAGTGCATTCCTCAGTCATGCAAAGACAAATAAACATGAGGATTCAGATCTAGGGAACTTGATGGAATGATAATCTATATCTTTCCAGCCAATTCTGCAAGTGATGCCGAGCATAAAGATTGCTATGTTAAGGAAAAAACCAACAACCACCCTAGCTGAGAATAAAAGTCAGTTTAGGAGGCTGACAACCTTGAACTGGCAATGAGTGCTGCTACCAGAAGCAATCCCGTGGCTGAAATTGCTTTCTGCTCTCTGATGTGCCATCTGATGCTCTGGATGGCTTTCAAGCAGTGTCCCAGGGCCAGGATGCTGCGGTGAGTGAGCACAACCATCACAGCAAGAGCACCTGCAGGCCCTTCCCTGGGGCAGCAGGGAGGCAGGCAGCACTCCCTCTCCCTGCAGGTACCCTGCATTGAAACCTCATCTTGACGATTACATCCCCATCAACACAAATGCTTTTCCCTCTGAAGGCTCAAAATAAGAGGATCCAGTTAAGAGATTTTCCTTCTTTTTCCTTTTTCCCCCCATGCCATCTTACCCACAGTGTGCAGTATGGGATCATGGTTTGGGGAAGAACAGTGGAGAGTGAAATGTTCATTTCAAACCCTGCATATTTAATCATGTTCATCCCTAAATATTTTATCTGGATCAATCTTTTATATCAGTTCATCACTCACTGGCTCGCTGGGCAGCTGCCATGAAAGAACACTCTGATGGTGAACAACTGCTGCAAAGACTTTTTCCTCCCTTCTTTCCTCTGCCAAAATTTTAAGCAATGCCCAGCTCTTTTCTGAGCCAGGAAACCCACTCTGTCTTTTGTATTGCTTTTCCTAACCAAATACCTTACTGTATGTTGCAGTGAGATGCCAGGGCAGCAACAAAAAGAAATATTTCTGGAAGAGAAACAGATCTCTACTAGTGTAGAAATATCCCATCCTTGCAGTTCACAATGCAAACAACACCTCATTTGCATGTCTGCAGTTTAAATGTAAATGGTCTAAGATAAGTCATTGTCAGACCCCTGTAAATATTGATGACTGCTCCAGGACTTGGTTTGTAACCATTTCTTTCTCTTCTGTCACCATCTGAGGGTGACATGTTAGCAGAGATGTGGATGGAGCTTCTGGGAGGGAAAAGAATAGCTTTGCTTAGTGGGTGACAGCAAAAGAAAAGAAGGAAGTTAGGGAGGAAAATTTCCAGATGAATAATGAATTGAGCCAGGTTGGAGACTGGTGAATCTTAATTAGAAATCTGACACATCATCGGCCTCCCGCCTTTGTGCTCGCTGCACTCAAAGGGATGCTCGGTAGCAGCTGCATGTCCCTGTGCTCCCCACCTCTTGGAGACTGCAGTGCCACTGAGGGAGCCTCTTGTGAGACCAGGTGAGCTGCAGCCACCCAGGCTGGGGACAACACTACTGCTTCTCTCAGACAGATGAAGGGACAGAGAATGTGCCGGCAAAAATGGTGGGAAAAGGTGACTCAGTGGCCACCCCACCTCCCTCCTGAGATTATCAGCAGGTCTGGTGAATTGTATTCAGCTTGTCTATTGTGAATAGACCCTGACACTTCTTCTTTCTGCTTTTTTTTTTTTTTTTTCCTAATGACAGTTTCAATACTCCTATCTGAGATGTCTTGGTGAAGTGCCTGAAGTTACAAAGGAGGGAGAGAGAACATCAATCTGCATCTGCTCTCTCCTGCAGAGTTGTCATCAGTCATCTTGTCTGGACTAGCAGGTGAGGGACAGTATGAGCCAAAGAGCAGCCCCAGAACAAGGAGATAGGTGAGGTTCCCCCAGACTGTGCCATGAGAAAGTCACGTCCTTGGGCCTTGGTTTCTCCAACTCTAAAATGAGAAAAACACTTATTGTTCCAATTTATTCCATGTCTTAGAGGAAAAGTACTCACTAAGTGCTACAGTTTATTATTCTAATGTGACTGTAAAATCATGATGTCTTTATTGCAAAATGATCTTTAAAACATGAAGCATTAGGATGGTGACTGAAATCATTACTATCAAATTGTTCTGCTTTTGCCCTGTCACATTGATACTTCAAAGTAAAATTGTCCTGTGGGCGTTTGTAAGATTTTATGAGGACAACTTGTCTTTTCAAACCTTATTCAGGAGGGCAAAAAAGCCTCCAGATGTTTTCTTAATGAAAAAGGGCTAAGTTTTCTGCCTGCCTAATTCTGAAGCTGCCCTTTAATATTTAAACTCCCATTCCCACTAATAATTAATGTGATGAACAATCAACAAAATGAGTCTCCAGTTGTTCAGAAGAGGTTCAGGCAGATTGTACCCACTCCTTGGTCCCACCCAAGGCTGCTGCTCTCACTGAGACATTGAAGGGGGAATGCCGTGGTGTCCCATCCCTCCCTCTGCCTGCAGAAAGGGACTGAAGGTGTCTCTGCTCTCTGGTGTGAGTGCCTGCTGGCAGGAGCCACGTTTCTCTGCTGCTTTGGGGTGCCTGACACCTAGCACAAAGAAGCCACACTCATGCCACAGCTCTCTTGGGTACCACCACAGCAGAAATACAGTATAAACAAGATAGCACCATGCACTGTGCTGCTGCTGGGCTTGTAGAGTGTCTGGTTCTCCAGAACTGCCCTATTTTCTCTGTCCCACAGGCTATGCTATCACCAGGTTAACAAAGGTCCTGTCCCTCCATCTTCTTCCAGACTGGGCTGCATTACAAAATCATGTTTCCTCTTCTGACAGAAAGTGCAAAGGTGTTTCAGCGGTCTCGGTGAGTGCGCTCTGTTTTGTGGGGACACACAAGGAGCAGTCTCTTTCTCCATCAACAGCTCCACTGCAGCAACTTTCTCACTCTCCTTCAACTTGTCACTCCCAGATCTTTCATTTCCTTGCACACACATTTTGTGGATCATGAACATGCTTGTGGATATCTATGGTTGCCCACTTTTGACCCAATCCACAAGTACCAGGAGGGAAGCTTTCTTTACCTTCTTTTTTTTCCCAGCCTAGCTATTTAGCAAAAACTGCTACTGGCAAATGTGTTTATTTGCTTTTTCACTCTCCTTTTTTTTCCCTGCCAGTTCTCCTAAATGACCTTGGGATTTGCTAGGCAGTTTCCAAACAATTTTGATCAAATGAAAGTGCCTTCAAATGCCACAAATACAACAATGAATAAAATATGTCTGGAGTTATTTCACTGGCACAGAACAGTTCTTTCTTGCCTACATGATTCAACAGCTTTTTCCCAACACTGTGTATTTGGAATGATCCTGAGCTTGACTCTTCTATCATGTCCAGGAATTGCTGGATGAGTGCTGGTCAGCACAGGCCAAAAGGGGCCACCACAATCTTGTGCTTGTGTATACATGACAGTGTGTCCATAGCCACATCTTGTTTTCTCAGATGAATGTGTCCAATGGGTATGCCTGAAAATCAAACAGAGATGAAAGCCAGACAGCAGAGAGCCAGAAATCTACACCAAGCAATCTCCTGACATTGGAGAGCCTGAACACAGGAGACCGCCTCAAAACAAACTTGATTTCATCAGCTCAGGAATGAGTTGGTGGTGATTGTGAATGGGGATGCTCCAGGTCTGTGTGGCTTCCCTGACCCAGGGCCATTTGCTTCTACAGCCCTGCCCATGACTGCTTCAGGAAATGTGTGCAAATGTGCTGCTCCCAGGCCCTCACATCAGAATTTCAAGGTCACTGGTTGTGTCCTAGGCAAAGGAGCCACATCACCATCCTCTCTGTCACACGGTCTGGGACCCAGCCCTAGATGCTGTCACAGAGGTCACAGAATGTGCTGTTCAATAGCAATGATGCAGCTGGTCCTGATTTAAATGGAAAGAGTGTAACGGGCTGTTACCCCACCACCACCCAGAGTGGAAGTGCCTGTGGTCCCCAAAAAGTGCAGCCCAAAGGAACTGCACAAAGCTGGCAGAGGAATCCAGTTTTGAAGTGTGTGAACTATAGAGGACATCCCACATGCAAACCTGGTGACCGCAGCAAGTCACCAAGTACAGGGCAGGAAGACACAAGTACTTCTGTCTTTAATTCTTAGGATTCATGTCTGGCTCTACAATCAGATTTTCAAAGTCCACATGAGCAATTTCAGGTTTTGAGAAGTTGCTTCTGCAGGGTTTCAGAAAACCTCCCCCTGCCCCCCCTCCCCTTTTGCATAGGTCTATGATACACAGCAACATCTCTAAATTTAATGTCACAAGTGAAGTCCAGTGAAGGGAAGACCCATACTGTGGCTCTGAAGCAGCTATTGAGTGTGACTATTGCCTAGTTTTATGGCAAACAAGTCCATTAGCATTTAAATTGATTCTTAAATATTTTCATAGAAATTCACAGCAATATAAGCCTTAAATCCAGGACTGGTAATATTGTGATTTTTATGTCTAATTTCAGATTTCGTTTTCAGTACGATAGATTGTAATTATAAAGACATGAAATTTCAGAGAGCTGCTTAAAAATGCACAGATTTGTGTTTCACCTTTAATGAGTAAAAGAAAAAAAGGAAAAAAGGAAGTAAGCATTATCCCACATCCCTGTGCAAAACTGTTGCCTAATCCTGATATTCTTGGACATAACTCATACAGTCTTGTTACAGGGGTTACAAATTAAACACTTAGACTAAAGATGTCTTTTAATTTTGTAAAGGATACAAAATATAAATCTCTAGCACTTGGACAATCCTGTAAACTGAATGGCACAGATGTCTGTCAGTGAATACCTATATTCATAGAATCATTAGGGTTGGAAATGACCTCCAAGATCATTGAGTCCAAGATTTGGCTGAAAACCAGCATATCAATTAAACCACATTGTTCCAAACTTGGTGTAAAATACAGGTGAATAAGCTCCATCCAGCCTCTGGACACTTTCAACAGGGCTCAGCCATCATGATGCTCTCCATTTGACAGCACCTGCTCCACCAGTGCCTCTGGGGGAAGATTGCAGGAGGTAAGTCACACTGAAAATATGCTGATATTGATGCTGTGTGGACATAAGCAACAGTCTTTCCCTGCTTCAGCAGTGTACTTCAGGCCATTAGTTGCTTTGACGAATTTATCCTCTGGAAAGCATTAAAAAATGTTTCGTATGGGTACAAAAAGGCAGAACTCAGCATAAGCCAAACCTGAGTGGCTTTTCAGTGACCTTTGTGATTGGGAGTATGTTTTCAGTACATTTATTTGACCCTAGTAGTTAATGTCATCCCATGTAAATCCTTAAGAGCTCTGTGATTTTGAGAGGTGGGATTTCTCCAGATGTGGTTTCCATGGCTGAGAACTCTGCTGCCACTTAGGTTGAAATGTGAGAATCTTCAGAGACCAGCAAGTTAACAAAAGGACACTTAGCAATATTGCTCCTCTGCTTGAATCTGAATTTAATTAGCTTGAGGAAGATATAAAGGCTGCTTTTTCAGGTGTGAGCTGCTACAAGACCTGGGGGAAGAGAAAGAAACTATTTAAGGGAAGGAAGTGCTTGTGCTATTGCAGCCACAGCAGGCTGAGTTCACTCAGTCCTGCACTGTTGACAAGTGCTGATAATGTCATATATCAAACACCCCTTCTCAGGCTTCTTTGGGAGCTCTAATGTGGAAACAATTTTAGGTGATGAAGTACCACAACACTGACAATCCCACATCTTCAGTATTGCATTAAAAATAGAAATAATTAAAATAAAAATTTTAAAAAGTTGAAAAATATCCTGGTTGAGTATTACTGAAGACATCTGGTTTGGGTGTAAAAAAGGCTAAGTCAAGCTCTACATGTTTCTTATCCATGTAACAAGCATTGCTGCAGGGAATGTAAGGGTGGAGAGAAATTTCTGTCACCAGATTTTATTTTACTGAGCTAAATCTTCAATACAAAGGGTGTGTTTCTCTTCACCAATAAAAGTTTGACTGTGAACTGAATGTCAACAGTTCAGCAGAGTGCATTTCACTAAGTGCTAAAATCACTTCTTTGCCAAGGGCATGTATCTGTTGATTAAAACATCAGGCTACTTGCACTGTGTTTGATACTGTACCACAGGGGACACCACACATTTCCCCTCCCACAATTCTACAAAACACACTGAACTTGTAAAAATCACATTTTAACACCTCACAGAGTTATGTGAAGAAACAAGTATAAATCAAGAACTTACAATCAAATCATCTTGATGTGATTTAAACTCAAGGTTACACCCAGGTGTTCCAGGCCATTCGATGCAATCAATGACTCTGAACCTTTGGAAAGGAGCTGATCCAAATGGGCCTATGAACCTTGCATCTTTGACTATCTATCTTGTTTCTTTGACTATCTATCTTGTTTATGATAAAATGGAATTCATTTATTTCCATGAACCTAATCCAAACTTCAGTATAGCCAACAGAAACCTCACCACTGACTCCAAAACCAAAACCTATCACATTACATCCCTCCCCCCCCAAAAAAAAATCCAAACAAAACAAATCAAACGCATGATGGATTGTTCTGTCTCCACAGAGTACAAAGTGGCTTCACTTTTAATGCTCACACTTCAGCTCTAACTCCCAAAGCTGTCTGTTTTGTGCTTGTTGTGGAATGTCATATTTATTAAATCATTTTTCATAGGTGTGCCAGGGCAACAATGTAAAAAAACCACCAAGTTTAAGTTTATGCAAAACTGACACCACAGTTCTGGTTCTATGCTCAGGGCTTCATACAGACTGGTGCAGGGACCAAGAGATTCCACATTCCTTCCATGGTTTTAACCAGGGTCAGATTAGGTCCTTCACTTTGAGAAGTCCTTTGTCAAAGAGTTCCTAAAATCAGACAGCTGAGGTCTTTCAGCACTAACTTTTTCCTCATCCAGAGATGTCTGACACTGGTTGGAGAACACTTCCTTCTCTCACAGCCCATGAGAGGGCTGGGAAACAATTGAATGCGTCAGAAGGAAAACTTATGGAGGTGCTTGTGCACCCCAAACTAAGATGAAGTGGTCCCCTTCCTAAACATAGCCAGAATGATTTGACCATAAAAGAGCTGCTACTATCTACCTAAATGATCTTGCAAATATCTCTCTCTTTCAGTGACTACATCCTTTTATATCTTATATAGCTGGTGAACCAAACACATAAACCTTTTCTCCTGATAGCCCATTAGGTATGCTTTTGAGGTACAACCTCAGTAATTACTTCCTTCCAATGTAATTGTATTTTAATTACACATTTAAGGCCAAATTCTTTCTTCATCTATCCCAACTAAAACTCTCTGAAACCTTATTAATTTTAATTAAGTTGGAGTTGATGCAAAATTTCTAAGTGCTCAATTTTGCATTAAAAGTTTCAAATTCATTTAAACATGGATTTAATTTCCACAAGCATTTCAATTGGAAATGTGCTCCTGCGTTTAGTCTTTCAGAGCAATAACATGAAATATATGAAACATAAAGTCCTTTCCAACAGATGATATTAGGACATAGCTCACCTTTAAATATTTCCTCATTTGCTGCAGCTACCTGAGGGATGTTTGCTACAGACTCAAACAGGATTTCTCTCATTAACATCAGTATCAGTGCTGTTCCAAAGGGATGAGCTGCAGCTGGAGATAAACTGTCCCTTTCTGAGAGGTGGGACAGAGTTTATGTCATCAGCCAGTGCAGTAAACACAAAAAGACACTCTGGGAATGGAGCAGATGAACTGCCAGAAGGGACTTGAGCCACTGAGAGCTCAAAAAGCCAGTTTGAAGTGTTTACATGAGCAGGGAATTGATACGTGTAGTTGGCCATGAAAGAGTGAGAAAACATGGAAGTAAAACTTTTCACTGTCTCACTGCACAAAAAGGACAAGAAATGGCTTGAGAGAGTCACTTATTATTTTCAAAATAATACATGGAGCAATTGAACCATCAAGAAAGTTATTTGAAGACCTGACCTGGACACAATAAGACTGTAGAGGGACTCAGTAATTGTGCTCAAAACCAAAAATAAAAATATGAGGTAATTGAGCCTTATGTTTCAGATGTAAGATCTCTGACACTACACATATCTTTGGAGACATTATGGAGCCCCTGATTAAAAACAAGAGCTGCTTGTGGGATTCCAGAGTGCAAGCGAAATTATTGAGAGAAACAGATCCAGCCCTGGAGAGATCAGCCAGCATCACAAAGAGGTCACTGCTGAGCTCTCAGACAAGTGTAACACATGTCACTGGGCCTCCAAAGCTCTCAGGTGAGGCGAGGGTAGTGCCCAGCAATGTCTCTGGAATACAGCAAGCCAGATGTGCTGCACAGAGAACCACACAGAAGGGCTGTTTGCAAAACCTTTACAGCCCAGAAGGGAGGCTGTGGCATCACTACAGCCCACAGTGGGCACTGCAGGGTGTGCCTGTGCTGACTCCCAGCATCTCTCTCAGGGAGCCACCCAGTAGCTCCAGCAGAGGTCTGATATTCTTCACACAACATACCCCGAACATGTGGGAGACAGGCTTGCCTGAGCAGAGCCATGGAGCATATCCTCTGGCCAAGCATGACTGCCCACAGCAAACACTGTCAGACAGGGAAAACAGTGAACTGGCAGGGAGATAGCCCAGCCAAATCCCTGGGGTGAGGGAATGAAAAGCGCGGACAGGTCTGTTTGCTTTCAATAACAGGAACGTGTTCAGCCACCCCAGCTCATTGCCCCAGCTCCACAGAGACCAGCTTCCTCAGAAGCTTTCCAGGCTTTTGGGAGGCCTAAGTGCAAAGGGGGTGAGGCTACAGGCTTTGATGTGGAAAAAACAGTGGTGAAAAGTGATTTGAGTCTGAATAATGGAAGAAAAGTCTGCCTAAGAGAAATTCCTGGGAGAGAAGTTAAAAAAAGCAGGAGACAGAGCTGGATGTGAGTAAGACAGAAGACATTACAGTCATGTTGGATATGACATACTGCATAAAATAGTGTATGACAACAGGTCAGAAGCTTGGTGTGAGTCTCAGGGCTACATCTGTAATTGCCAATTGTGCACAAAAGTCCCATGACACAGAGGAAAGCAGGGTCGTATGGATGTCTGTCTGACCCTTCTGTACCCTCTCCACTTTCAGTTCATACACAGAGAGAATGTGACACTCCCAGGCCCAGAGGGTCAGGGCAGCCTCTTACCAGCCTCAGCACCAGCTTCACATGAATCCTTCATGTCAAAATCACTAGGATTGTCATTTTGAAAGCATTATAGACAGATACGGGGCACAGGAAGCCTGAGAGATTAGAGACTGAAGTTGGAGAAAGCCCTGGAGATGTTTGTTGTGTGTGGTGTCATTTATTGCTATAACCCATGGCATCAGCCAGATGTTACAAGCTCTGCAGTGTGAAAGAGCCCCAGCACCTGATGCCACCCCCAAGCCCAGGAGGAGGTTACAAAGGCATTCAGCTTGCAAGCTCTTGAGCAGACAGGAAGCTCTGCTAGTCAAGACCTCCTATCCGAGACTGTACAGCTCCTGCCATACCAGATCACCACAGCCTCAAAAAATCATCTCTTTTCCTCAGAAAAGGGCAGCCAGGAGCAGTCACACTAGGAGAGAACAGCACCAGATGCTACAGGCAGGGCAAAGCCAGAACTGAAAGATCTCCCACCATGAAACAGCAGAGCTGCAGATGAGTCAGGAAAGAACTGGAGGTCAAAACAGTGCAGGGTGGGGCTCTCTTGATTTAGTGGACTGTGAACAATTAAATAGGTATATTTCATCACTGCTTGTTTCATGCAAATGTTTGCTGTTAGTGTGTGTTGTTTGTGCAATGGAGAAAGGTAGGATGCGCTGGCACAGGACAGCTGGACCTATCCTTGTTATACAGCTTACCTACTGACACTGCTGAAAGCTGGTCCCTGGTAGGCACTGCCTGATGGCTGAGAAGAGTGGCTACAGCATCATCCACAGCTGCAATGCCTCTGAAAAGAGCTGTTTTCCAACAAGGTGTTTGTTTCATTTTTACAAGCAAGAAAGGCTTTTTGGCTCTTGCTCAGCGTGTGTTACCTGACATGCCAGGCATTCCCAGAAGCCATGAGGAGAGTCAGGCAGTGAGGAACTGCTCTGTGTACTGAGCTGAACTTGCTTGCTCGTTTTTCCAAGTCTTAGCAGACAGGTAAATTTTTTAAAGGTACTTGTTTCTAAATACAACATGTAACTCGTTTTGCTGCAGTCTATCCATCTAGTGTTCTGTGCTTGTGGGTACAAAGTCACCAGTACCAGTTAACATGACTGAGAATTAAAAAGGAAATACATGTTTTTCTATCAGAGACAGAATGTTTGAAGTTAAAAGATTTCAAGGTATCCTGCAGTTTTGAAGCTCACTGTTCCTTGCCTGCTTAAATAAAACAAAGTGGAGCTAAATGATACATAATTGAAAATGCACAAACACAGAGAGAGAGACAAAAAGAGAGAAAACTAACTGGAAGCAATCTCCCAAACAAGTTACTTGATCTTGGCCAACAGAACCTGCAGTTTCAAGCCATTTAGGCACTCAGGAAAATTTGTTCTGGATATGAAACACATTTACTCAGCACCCATCAATTCTGTGCTGCAGCCAGCCCTGGGGAAAGAGAGGTCTCTCGGTGGCTGCAGCCAGCACGCTGGGCAGCTTCCAGCCCTCCTCTCCTGCCAACAGTAAATAAAAGCATAATGAAATAAGAACAGCTAATGCTAACGCCCTAGAGCTGATGCTGGAACGAGGAGCGTGAGACCGGAGAATTGCAAGCAGCCTTTCCTCACTACTGCAAAGCACTTGCAGCCCAGACACACCCCAAGCCAGGCTGATTTTCTGTGTGTTCAGTAGCTCTGAGAGGGTCCTCTCCTCCATTAATTCATTCAGCCTTCTCTCAGGCTGTCCTACCGATCGGTGTTTTCTACACAGGCAGCCACACCAAGGAAAAAGAGAACCAATACTCACTTTGGTCACGGCCTCTCCAGTCCTCAGCCATTCCCACATGCGTCCTTGTGTTAACAACCGCATGTAAGGGATAGGAATGAGATCAGCAGCTGCCAGCACGGCCCTGTGCCACAGAAATTTCCAAATAATGTTCTTTCTCTGTCTCTTAGAAGCACATAAAGCAGCTGATACTTCTGCCCTTTTGTTACACCTTTTTCTGTGCATGCAATTCATCTGGCAAATGTATATCGAAGTAAAAAAAAATGTAAGAAAACAAAATAAAATGTAAGAAAACAAAAAAAAAAAGTAAGAAAACAAAATAAAATTAAAACCTTACAAATGAGGTCAAAAAACCAAATCAGTGTGAAAACTGGTTTCCTGAAGTTTCGTTCCATGCACATAGTATGTGTTAGTATTTAGTAACATGCAGAAATTAGATGTGTGATTTAAGCCTTCTAAGTCTTTATGTTAGCTTTTCCCTCGGCAAAATTAAAGTCTCTGTGGAAGAAGCATGGCATGAAAGAACTAAGAATTGTGATGACAAGATGGTCAGCATTATTGACATTTTCCTTCCATATTTTAATTGATAGAATTAGGTAAACACCTTTCCTAAAAGAATGAACCCAAATTGAATTCAGTTGAGTTACTGAGCGAAAGAATGAATTATTTTCTTAATTTCCCTTAGGAAAGAAAAGTCTCTGCATTACTCGTACATGCCATCAAATTAAAATGGTGTGAAGGAGTACAAGTTACTCAGAAATGAAATGTTGTGGAGTAAATGAAAGGCAAATGTTAAAAATCCTCCTCTGAGCAGCCAAGAAGAAAATTCCTTCATGATACATGTAGGTGACATAATCTTGGGACAGCCTTTCCGTAGGTGTGGGCCTTCTTTGCATGTTCCCCAGGAGAAATCTGCACATCATTTGTCAAAATGGCTGTAGATTTATGTCTTTGTTTTCTTAGAAATATGAATCTTTGTATATTCATTGATTTTCAGTCTAGAATTAAACTTTACAATTGTGTTGTACATCAGTCCTTATAGGCTTGCCACAGACTTTCAAGCTCTTTCCTTAAGTTCCTGTTTTCTAGCTGAATTGAAGCATGTCTTCTGCAATTAAAAAAAAAAAAAAGGCAAAAATCAAGCATTGATTAAAACACACCAGGTGTTAGAAAACTGTCAGACAGAATCTGATTCCTGGTCTAAGTTGTCTCATGGTTTTGCTCGTGTGGTTCATTGGTCCCTGGGCATCTGTGTACTCCTTCTAATGCAATTATGAAATGTGATTGAGGAAATGAAGTTCTTCGTCTCTACATAGCAATTGACCAAGTGTAAAATATTCTTGAAACTTACATTTCCATTGAAAGAAGTTGGAGAATCTATACATTTTAAAAATTACTTACCTAGTATCTAAAAGTGCCCAGACTAGACCCTTCAGAGAAAGATGCAAGCAGTTTCACATTGCATAGTTATAAAGTAAGGTGTCAGAAAGGGATATTGTTCCTATCCCAACCTCTCATGTAGTTTGTTTATGACTTGAAGTACAAGTTTATTTCACTTACTTTTGGAGACAACTTTTATTCCAGGCTGTAAATCAGGGTGGCTTATTGGAAAACACTAGATTAGCCATCAGTTTTTTAAACTCCAGCAGTGACAGTATCTGACATCACTTTCTTCAGAATTATCCTTCAAAAAACTATTCATTCCAGCCCATAGTCATGTGTAAGCTGGAAGCATTACATAAATATATTGCTTCATAGGTACAAGAAAGTTTCTGTGTGTAAAAACAAGTCAATATTTGCCCAATTTTCATACTGATATCCCAGCCTTACCTGATGAGTCAAAGATAGGATGTGTCATGCTGGAAGCTGCCTCCACAGGCACTGGGGAGAAGAGGCTGAGCTGTGACACAGTTTCAAATGCACTTTGGTAGGCTTTTAATCAGACATCTGTGTGGGGACCTCAACAACTTCCCTTCTCCTCCTTTGTCTGAGGTCCAGTCACTTTTGGTTTTTATCTTTGTACTGGCATGTTTCACTTCTGGGTATGAGACAACTCATTCTCCTCATGTCCTTAGTCCTGGTGACATTATTAGGCATGCTGGTGAGGCCCAGGCCCAGCCTTTGGGAGGGAAACAAAAATTAAAGGTAAAATAGATTTTTAAGTAGGAAGCACTTTTCCCATGTTGAAGAGCCACAACAGTTCCAAAATGAGAAGGCATATTTTTAGTGATTAGCTGCAGTTAATCCTAAGAATGCTTTAGGCTTTGTAATAAGTCAAACACAATATCCTCTCCTCCATGGAGAAGTGAGTCGTGGGGTTTCAGAGTGGGAGAACAAAAGGATTACAAATGAGGTATTTGCAATAATTCCTCCACAGCGGCTATACACGCTACATAATATTTCCCCCTAAACCAGAAATCTGCCTTGAATAAAAGGAAGAAAATGACATTAGGAGAAAGAAGTCATATCTACAAACTGCATGTAAATCAGAAGTTCATTAGGGGAGTATGCAGAGAAGCTTTTGGAATGTAATTTTGCTACCAACTAGTTTTCACAAGAGTGAAGTAAGGCTTTCAAAAGCATCATTGCCCTAAGTAATTCAAATTACCTGCCCTACCTGATACTATCTCTTCCCACAGAGATTACAAAGCACTTAAATTTTTACCCACTTTGTTACAGAAATCCCCATGGAAGATTTCAATCCATTTGCAAGCACTGCTGTGAGAAGAAAAGAAAAGATATCAGAAGTTTTCAAAATGACCGCCAGCACACCTAGAGTTAAAAGATTCTTACAAGCATTGTCTCTGTATTATGAAGTTCTTTGTTCAGAAATTTACCACTGTGTCACACAAAACCACCCCACTCAGGACCAAAACTCAGTCTACAAGAGTTCAGCTAAGAAACAATAATTCCTGGTGCTTTGTCCCCTTCTTTTTTCTAACATTGAAATAGAAAAGATCCTACGTGTTCTACTCTTTCCAAGAATGAGTGTACTCCTATTATTCAGAATATTACTTTAAAACATAAAGGCGTGGGCTTATAGATGAGATTGCTGACGATGTTTGATGCGTCAGGTGATCTCTGCCGCGCGGGTGGCCATAGATGGCTCATCCCTCATTCAGAGGCATGCACCCTCTTCTAGGACATCTCCTGTTTTTTGGCATTCCAAAGCCTTGCTTTTATTTAGGCTGACCTCGCTCTGGCACCCACAGGGGTGTGTTATAGCAGGGGTCATTAGGGAAGGTATCGCTCGGTTTCTGTCCCTCCCCATGGCAAGCAAGACCTACATTTTGCAGTGTGCAAATGTACTCTGTACAGACACAAAACTGCTGGGACATCTTATCCCTCTCACAGCCCAGAGGGGAATTTAGGAGTGTGGCTGTGCTTTATTCTGGCTTGCCACGGAGCTGTGCCAGACTCAGGGGCTTGCAGAGTTTTCCAGCAAGGTCGCTCCTCAAGGGTGCTGAAAGAGTGTGGGACTGGGACAGGTGAGAGCTGGCCTGGCTTCAATCAAAACCATTTCTAGCAAGGGTTTTGTACTGACATATGAGGGGCTCACTATATTCTGCTTTGTGTGCTGAAGTTGGAGCAACTCCAAACTAAAAAAAAAAATTAAAAGAAGATGAAGAGGAGGAAGACTGTGTGGAATAAAAAAGCCCAAAGAATTAAACTTCCTGTAAGTGCTACTGCCTGCTGTGCTTTAAAACCCACAGGTGCAAATCCAGGATTCTTTGAACCAGGAGAGCTTTGCCTTGAGCTTTGGTGTACCTACGCTTCCAGGTAAGGTCACTGCTTTGCTGTCTTTACAGGTCCTGCAGCTTGGCATGCTTGCAAATTTCCTGCAGGTCACAGCAGCTGCATGAGGAACACATGCCATCCTGAACAGAGCAGGAGGGAAGGTGCAGCAGGGAAGTTTGCCAGAAAATGGTCCAGTGGAAGGTGTCCCGCCCATGGAACCAGATGATGTCCATGGGTGTTGGAATTGAATAGTCTTTAAGGTGTCTCCCAACCTAAGCCATTCTACCATTCTATAAAAAGACACCATTGTGGTAAAGTGGGTAATGTTGTATTATTGTGTCTGGCTCCTTCCTGTCCTAGCTGCACCTTGCTGCCTGCATGAACACACAGCTAAATCAAAGCTAACTATGCAACTCCCCAGCAGCAGACCAGCAGACAAGGTGACATAATTGGGGTCTCCTGGTGGCTGAAAGACTTCTGAGAGAGCAACTTGCTCACCAGCTTCTCTGGGGCTGGGTCATGACGGAGTCTCTCAATGCAAAACATGGACTTCAGAAAGACCTGGAGCTTCTGAAAATGGCTGTGTTGTATCAGTAACTGAGGGAATCACAGAGCTAGAGGGCAAATACACAAATCCCTTAAGATATAGCATCCATGAAAAAAAAAAAAAAAAGAAAGAAAGCAAGAAAGTAAAACAATTTTAGTGTTCTTTCAGCACTGCCTCTTGCATTTACTCCAGCACACTATATTTGGTATGGCTGTTTCTGTAGGAGAGCTAGTCTCTGAAAAGTCCTCATGTAGAAGTACCAAACCTCCAGGGAGTTTAAGGCAGCTTTTATTTAGACCCACGCTTTGTTATGATACCAAGTTTAGCCTCAGTCATGCTGCTTACTGATATTCCAGTGTCTGTGGCTGCTCACAAGCTCAGGGTCCACATTTCTTGGGTTTCATTGATTTCACAGCATCACTGCCCATGCAAAACTCTGCTCCTGTTAATCCAAATCTTTAACTGTAGTTCAGATGCCTGGAGATGGAGAGAGGGTGGTGGCAATGACAGCATGCAATGTGCACTGATGGGGACAGGAACATTGTGTAGCTGTCAGCACAAAGAAAGGGAGGCTCATCTTGCTGCAGCAATATTTGGGACAGAAGGCTGGAAGATCAATTTAACTCCTTTGATGTGTCATATCTTGCTAGTAAAGGTTTAAATGCTATTTCTGTCTGCCACATTGATTTTCATTATCATGGATCCTCTTCCTGAGGTAAAGAATTTCTCTCACAGAAGTTTCCTAAACCTGTTTAGCTTGTGGTGATGTTATGTTTTAAATTACAACACAAATACCTGCATGCGTATATGCACCAGCTCTTATTATTCATAAGAAATCTGTTTATGGCACTGTGTAATTTTAGTATTCCATGACAGCAGCATTTAAATTATGTTTTTTCTTAAAAAAAAAAAAAGGAAAAAGAAAACAAATCATAATTCATCCAGCTTGCAAGTACAACATCCTGTCTGTTTGCCCCTCTTCCATTAATCTGGAGACTGGGAGGCATTAAGTGACGCAAGACCTTTGAATCTGCCCCCTCAGAAAGTCTGACAGCTCAGAAGACTGTACGGTCTTCGTTATTGTTCCAAAATATCAGCTTGCACACTCCAAAACTATTTAAGAAATACTGATTTAATCATATACTCCCCCACATTTTTGCAACTGCCATCACTACTGTGGGTGTTAATATGCTGAGTGGGACAATTGTGGTGTTTTGCTGCTCTAAAGAAATTTTTTTTCCTCATAAATTCCAGGAATGGGTTCTTTCTGCTGTTTTAGCTACTTCATGTAACAAATAACCTTTGCAATAGGAGAATTTGGCTCATCATGCAGATTTGTGTTCTTTATAAGTGGAAAATAATAGCAGACAGTGTTCCTCCTGTGTCACTGCTTTTATTCCAGTCAAGATTGATAAAATATTTCTTGGAGAGAAACACACAAATCAGCCTGTATGGGAACCCTGACGATGATGATGACAATGACAATGATGACGATGATGATGAAGATGATGATGAAGAAGATGATGATAAGCACAAGTTTGGGGCTGACATTTTGGTGTAGTGCAGTTCCTTCCCTGTGGCTCTTGGGATTTGGCAGGTGAGGCTTGATAGGAGACCAGTGAAAGTCCTTAAGGCTGAGATGAAAACCCTGCATGGTGTTTCTGCTGGAAGAGCTGTTTGGAGGAGCCTGAGTGTTCCCAGAATAGTACAGTTCCTCTAACATAGCTACAAGCAACACATCAAGCTCCAAAGAGATTCTTTTTTTAGGCTTGGATCTAAGGAGGTGGGGAGGGGACGAACAGTAGAAGGCTGACAATGACAAGCAGGCATTCATTTGAAGGAAAGTAATACATCTACTAAACTCTTAATGACTAACAGCATAAAGCCTTGGCAATCCCATTACTTTCCCCAAATATAATAATGTCAGGATTTTGGTGTTCTTAGGAAAAAAAAGAAACAGCATAATGTTTAGGACTATAACATAGTATTTTGCAGCCTTATAGTAATAACAAATGCAACACAATCTGAAAATATATAAAATAAGATCACTTTTTTTGCCTTTTTGTATGGGCTGAGGTGTTGCAGTCACTCCTGCATAGTCATATACATCAGGCATGTGGTAGCATATGGAGGCCCTGGCAGTGTAAAAAAGCCACTGGATTTTGCAATAATTGCACTGTAACTTTATGAAATGTCCCGTACAATTAGCATCCTACAACATATTTATTGTTTTGTATAGTCACATGATTTAATGACTCTGAACAGCATTTTTGAAGGGATTATTTGGGTATTTATGTTTTCCACTGCTCCTTGAAGAGCTCACCTTCCTGAGCAGTCTGGTGAATGCAGTTCAGCATGTCTCAGCTCCTCCATGGAAAGACAGGAAAGATCTTGTGGTTAGACCCAGACATTTCATTTTCTTAGGCATCAGTTACTTACTCTCTAGACAGCTTGGTTCTCTGGCTTACAGCTGTGGGTTTCCCTGCTGTCTTGGTCGTGTGCAGAAAATACAATCCAATTACTTCTTCCATGTGGAGAAGATGCAGAGAGTCAGCAGTGATAGATAGATCCCTGCAGGGCAGAAAGACCCATCCTCTGAAAAATAATGAACCCTGTAGCAAAGGAAAAAGACAAAGAAAAAAAAAGCTTGGAAAAACACAGCTTACAACTGAAGACCCCATGGCCCTGAGTGAACTGAAGTTGAAAGTTCATGTAGTTTTGAATCATTGCTTGAGGCTCTCTTTAGAGTCAAAGGGATCTCACTTCACACACACTGGTTACACATTTAATCCTGCTTTAGCAGCTGCAATCAAGTCAAAAGTTTTTACTGTTTGGGAGGGTTTTGAATGAAAGCCGATACCTCGTGTGGTGAGAGAGAGCTTTCTTCAATTCCACAGACCTGAAATAATCAGTGCCACAGTGTGAGCTCCACTTCATTCTGATGCAGTGTAGGCCAAAACCTCTTTCCTAGTCCTGGATATTCTTCACAGAGGTGTGAGCCTGAACATTCCTGAAGCAAACACTGGCATTATCAATCACAGCAGCGCCTGAACAAGTGATCTGATTTAAAGAGTGATGAAATGGAAACTGTTGGTGCTTTTTCACCTCTGAACATCAGACAGTATGTTCACAGCTTTCTCTGGATGGAGGCATTTGATATTAGCCACTGTTTTGCAATTTTCCCTCTCTTCCATTAAGAAAGTAGGTGCAAAAACCTGGGTACCACTATTGGTTGCAATAAAAAGCAGTAAATACTCATTCATCACTGCTACACCAAGATCACATTAATTATAAACACAGGTAATGGGCTGTCTTTGATGTCATTGCATTGATTATTAGGATTTCTTTACCTACTGTGGAAATCAGTATATTTGGGGATCTTCTTAATGGAAACAGTTCATTTGGATATGTATAAAATGGTTGATCTTGCAAAACAATGTCTGACTATATATTACTGAACTTCTCCCTCCTCCCCAAAACAAATTTTGCTAGTTATGTTTGTGGGGAAAAAAAATCATTCATTGTGTGGCAGAACACAGCTTGGAAAACCTTCCCAATGCTCGTTGCCAAACTTATAGATACGGTGATGTTCACTTTCTCTGCTTGCCCAGAACCCTGAACAGACACTATAAATTCAAGGACCCTCTCCATAGTGCATGTGCACTGGTGTAAATCACAAGCAGCAGCACACACTGTGCCCTCAGCAAAGCCTGGGCTGGGTGATGGCAGCCTTGCCCCCATAGAGGAGCAACTGCATCTGCAGATGGTTTCAGAGAAATCAGAAGGTGGCAGAAGAATAAGACTCTGTGACTGTGGTCACATCTTCCCAGACGTCCTGTATATCAAATTTTTTTTCCTGGAGAAGCTGGCAAATTTGAAACACACACAGAGATATTTTTCAGCCAGTTTAAGCCATAGAGGGGAAGATTTGTAGGCTATGGAATAGGTGAGTGCAGCTTCAAAAACCTTTACCCTCTTTTTGTAGTCTGATGCCTAATGATGGTGAATTTGTTAGCATAAGCTTATTAGGCATAAGCATCTGTTTCCATCCATGATGGACCAACTGAATTGCCTCCAAGACTACTGACATTCTCCCCTTAAAAGTCATTGGCAGCAACTGAGCAGAATCAAACTATGGTGTGGGATTTGTGGAAAGAGCAACCCACCATACATACATCCTTGCCCAGACAAGTTGCATTGCATAGATCTCATTTCTCTAGGAATTCAAACTTTAAACAATTTTATTTTTGCCTGCTTTACTCTATGCATTTCATTCAGCTGTGCTTCAATCACTCTCTGCCAGCCTTTCTTGCTCTTGTGAGGCTGGAGAAGTCATAAATATGGCAGGTCCCTTTGAGTGTTAATGCTGGATGCTGTCCATGACTGCTGAGCTGCAATATGTGAGCCAGCGATACCACAAAGACAGAGTTTATATTCCTTCCCTGTTACATATTTGTACTGTGTAAATCTGCAGAGCAGAAGAAATTTATAGCAAAATGAGTGGTCGTGGGGAAAGCAATCTCCATATAAAGCAGTGCCAGATACCTCTCTGTTTGGGACTCCTTCTATTGGGAAGTTTCCCACCAGGCTGAATGAAGCCTTCAGCCACTGCTGTTCTTTTTTATTGTGCCTCAGTTTTGTGCCTCAGTGACAGGGGGGTCACTGACATTGTTTATCCATTATTCATTTAGCAATGCCTCTGGGAAGCAACTTAATGTCATGTATTTTTCACTTACATGAATTGCAATAAACTGCCCTCTTCAAGCTTGCCTGCACTGGGAAAATTTTCTAAGTTCTTTTACAACCAGCATAGTTTAAACTGTTTGGAGGCTGCAGCAAGGACCTGGTAATAGACAGCAAGAGGTGAGTGATTGTTTTTTACCAATGTGGCTTCAGACTGTGGCACGAGCTACACTTACTAAAACATGAACTATTAAGACTACATAAACCAGAAATATTTTGGCTTTGTTGAAATACACAGTATCTGTCTCCCTTGGACTGGAAATGCTTCTATTACACAAACTGCTCATTCTCCCTTGAAAGGCCTGGCTTTCAGTGGAAGACTTGAGTTTTTCTTGCTTTGCTTTCCTAGCCTTCTTCAAAGCAGGGTATTTTAAGTCAATATATCACTAACAAGCCCAGATGAGATTTCAGTGCAGCCTTTACTGTCAGAATCAAAATTACATGAAGTACTGAATTTTGAGGCTTGAGTACTGAATTCTGATCTGGCCGGGTGAAATGCTCCCAGTTAAATCCCATCACGTGCAGGCCTCTGTTGGCACAGCCAACACATTTGTGCACTAATAAAACTGAGAGGTTGTAAAGAGAAAAAAAAATCTCTGGGTCTAATAAGAGGGATGTGAATAAACCATGGCTGAAAACATGGAGCGGAAAAGTTTGGTGGATACCCAAGAGATGGAGATGGTAGATCCTTTGTTGAAAGAAGGCAGCTGAGGATAAAGAGGAGGTGCTACACAGAAGGGAATACTCATGTCTGTCCTCAAGAACTCCTAATATGAGCAGCACATGGGTCATTGGATGTGGTGGATTAAAATTTATCCTGTATTTACAAAGATACGTTTTCTGAAGAAGCAAAATTTGCTGAATTTCAGCTGGAGTCAGATGCACGCGCTTCACTCCTTTAGACAGTCTCCAAATATAGGAGAAGCAAGGTAGGTTGTTACAGCATGAGTCCAAGTCCCTGTGTGAAAACACCTCCCTTGGCATGGGAGGCATTTCTACCTCAGGATAAGGCATGGCCAGGGTAGCAGAGGCCATGCCCAGGGAACCAAAATCAGTGAGAAGTGCTCAGCCTGTCCTGGGAGCAGCAGAAAGCCCTGCTTTTCCCACAGCTGCTGTATTCCCTCCATACTGGGCTTCTGGCATGAGGATACAGGGGCTGTGCTCTGCAATGTGCCAGGAATGAGGACACAGGGAAGAGGAGAAGGCAGGAAAATGTGGTTGTCTCTGAGCCTTTACCAAGCCATTTTCTTCCTGAGAACTAATCCAGGGCTCCCTGTGAAATCAGGAAGCACATGGCCACACAAAGAGGCACTAGGACCATCCCAAGGGAGGCAGAGAGTCTCTTCCAAAGCAGAAATCATCTGTATTTCCCTTTGGTGTTCCCACACCTTCTAAGATGGGCTATGCTCCCATCTCAGGTTACCCCTGGAGTGGGTTTGGCTTCCAGGGTTCCCACAGCTTTAGAAGACAGCAAAAGGCAACTGCAACTGTTCACTGACCTCTGCAAAGGGGCTGATTGGTCACTTTCCCTCCCCCTTTTCTTTCCAGGGCCAGCCATAAAGGAGATTCAGTAGTCTGTTGGCAAGGGTGCAAACCCAGGTATAATTTAGCTCATGAGGCCCTCTCTGTGCACTGAGAGGAACCAGCTTGTTCACATCTCCATGTCTTCTTCCTGACCAGGAGAATGCCTGATTCCCAAGCTGGAATTTCTGCCTGGCCAAGTGTCCCAACACAGGACTGTGGCCTGCTATGGAATGCCCCTGGAAGGAAGTGCCTGCCTCTCTTCTCTGCTCCCCTGTCCCACAGCCAAAGCAACCTTACACCTCAGGGTCAAAGCGTGGGGCTCAAAGTTAGGCTGCCATGCACAGTCTCCCTTGAGCTCTGCACTGAGTGCAAAGGATGCCTGAGGGCACACAGCACCTTTCCATCATCCCAGAATTAGTTTCTCTGCAAAACACTTCTGAACTTGCAGACTATTGAGGGTGTCATGTCCCTCCTTCTTCTTGCCTCCAAGAAGCTAAGATTCTCACATAAAATTCAAATGAAGATGGTTTTTTGTGGGATACTCAGTAAAAAAAAGCATGTTGAATGGTAAGACAACAAATTCCTTCTGTCTATGAGAAACAAGTTTATGTGGTCCTCAGTGCTAGACTGCCCAGATTGCCTGCTATCTAATGAACCCTTATCTTGCCTCTACCAAACACTTGATATAATCAAGGCTTTACACATTTGCTTTAGTCTATTCTTACCTCAGCTGACAGGGTGGTGAGAACTGCCTTACTTATTCTCTTGAGGCATTCCTGGTGGCTCTCCAGGTTGCTAAATCATCATCCCTGCAGATCCTTTCTGAATTGGTGGCTTAAACCCAAATTCCATGCCCTCCCTCAGTTGGATTACAGGATGGGGGGCCAAGGAGTTACTCTGAACACCATGATAAAGGCAGCAGGCCCCTGTCATCCTTGCACAGCCACTGCTGAGGCACAGGTTTGCAGTGGGTTCAGTTCTCCCTATGCAGTCATGAAGCTTATGGGCAGCACAACACAGACCATGAAGTCAGAAAACTTCCCTACATTTTCTCCATGGAAGACAGATGTGTAGGTGGATTGTATTTTTTTTTTTTTTTTTTTTTTTTTTTTTTTTTTTGTCTCGGAAGCCTGCAGCTTGATGATTCACCAGCACAAGCTTTGATGACTCCTACCCTCCAGTGCTGTTTCCTGCTCTATGGTTACACTGGCTGCCCAGCTGGCAAGCTGAGGGGGAACCTGCAGCTTGCAGAAAGAGAGGGTGTGTGAGCTAAAGGAGCCTTGCAGTGAGCAGAGCAGGCTGTCACTGGTGTGTCATCCACTTTTAATATGATCAGGTGTCCCTT